TACCTTGCTATTCTACTCAGTCAAGCAGAGTAAAGTCAGCACAGATGGACTTTGGTGGGAAATGTCGACTTTTCCAGCCTCCGTGGCTGCACCCATGTTAGGCAAGCAGTTGTGACTGTTTGTTTAAAAATGGGCTAAAATCACACAGTGACCGACGACTTTGTGTCCGACAATAACGGAATCAGTAACACTTCACTTGGTATCGAGTATGAGTACATGTAAATGAGCATGGTATCGGCCCAATACCCGATACCAGTATCACTATCAATGCATCCCTAATTATGAAACTAACAACATGGACGCCTCAGAGAAGACAACAGGTGAGGAGCCTTGTGATGCCAGGGTCGGTATCTCCAGTTCCCTGAAGGCTAGCAATGTGATTGAGGGCTCACTGGAAAGGGGATGTAATGCTCTACCTGACCTGTTGCTTGCTGCAAAGCATTCCCTTCTCCTATGGTTTTATTTATGAAATCACAACATCAGGGATTAGTCAACATCAGCTCCACTTTGATCACATAACAGTCAACCAAAAAATCTGAAATTGTGAAACCAATTAAACACACACAATTATTAACAGACAAATCACTTCGAAAAAGAGGAAACCCACACCAGCAGGATCTCACAAATGTGCATGTCTGTAGCAACAAATGTTATGTACATGAAGTAATGTTTCCTGCAATAAACTGGGTTCATGATAACTTGATTAACTGTCAAAATAATTGCTAACATACTAGATTACTAATATAATCAATGGTGACAGCCCTAATACAGTACAATCAACATTTCCTGGATGATTAATGGTCTAAAATAATGATCAGCAACAGATGGATGGATGTGGATATGGAAGATGGACAGGACTATATGTTTATTCAATCTCCCTCTCATGAGACACACTGAAGAGATTCCACCTACCTTTAAAAAATGTTTTACAAAGTTGCCACAGTGTGGTTTTAGATGAAAGAACTACACACAAAATAGGGAATGCAGGTGAGCACTGGAACAGAAACAGCACAGTGCTGTATAGAAAATTCATCAAGACTTCACAGAAAAATGACAAAACCTGTAGAAACTGATGGGTGTGGTAATGAGCTGCAGGTGTTATAATGAGGGCGGGTGGAGTGCTGTGGCTTCCGAGATTGCGGCCACAACAGCAACGCTATCTTCAATTAAAATAACTTGCTCAAGTCTCTTCAGTGGAGGAACACAACACTGTGTCTTAATTTGTGGGAAAAGATAGGCAGATTTTATGTGGAAGGGGGCCTACAGTACCTGACAAGGTATATGCCATCTACAAAGCCGTACAGTTTAATATCATACTCTGCATTTATGCATAGGCAGATATTTATTATTTTTTGCTGATCAATAAAGAAAGGATGTTTTCAAAACTAAGTTAAACTTGAAAGTAGCAGTGAGAGGGAGTGTGTTATCGCGAAATAACATCATGTTATTCACGATAACACACAACCTCGAGTGTTCTACTGCTTTTATACAACAATTACATAAATAAAGTAAGAAAAAAATAAACTGGGCCGTGAATGTGGTGTTTAATATGTTTTAATGTTAGCAGTTCCTTCCACGAAGCTATAGTTCCTTAACAAGCAGCTTGTTGCTACGTCAGAGTAATGAGCTCCGCTCACTCGCTGCACAGTCTGCAGTTCGTTCTCCAGCTCCTTACACTAAATTCCCAAACTGTCATCACCACTGAGCAGCTTTTCAGTCGGCAGCTGTGACAGAAGAACAGCTAAACAACCTGGAATCAGCCAGAAATGAACCCAATACCATTCGCCAAACGTGTAGTCTGTGTAGACCAAATCAGACTGAGCCATAAAACTGCCGCAATATCAAGTTTAGCTCAGTTTTGTCATTTTTTGCCAGATAAATATTAATGTTGTTTTGTTCCAGCCAGTCTGTAAAGCATCTTACAGCCCATTTAGTTTGGCGAATGGTATTGGGTTCATTTCTGGCTGATTCCAGGTTGTTTAGCTGTTCATCTGTCACAGCTGCCGACTGAAAAGCTGCTCAGTGGTGATGACAGTTTGGGAATTTAGTGTCGTCTCATCTTCAGAGTCTGACCAAATCGGCTGTCGGTCAAATGTGATCTTAAAAGTGTCCATTTTCTGTTTGTGGCAAAGTAAGAAGTAAAAACGTTCAAATGGCTCGAGCGTCTCCTACAGCTGTCAAAGTCGTTGCTTAGCAACGGCGTCTCAGCTGAGTGATACAGGGTTTGTGAAAAAACTGTGCTGTTATGGCGAAATAACAGCACAGTTAGAACGCTTCTCAACCAATCAGCTTGCACGGCCGGAACTAACTGTGGTATAAATGACAATATCACATCACATCATGTGACAATATGCTTTTGAGGACATCATTGATATTGTGAGTAGGAACACTGAACAACTGCTTGCATTATAACAAAAAGAGCATAATTTGGCTTGTTTAGTTGGTGTCATCATAGAGAATATAAATAATTGTATTCGTACTATTTGATAGTAATTTTTAGAAGCAGCACTATTGGTTAATTTTTGCCTTTTCCAGCATATCAAACCCCAGCAAACATAAATATTGTAATGCATATCACGTATCAAGAAAATGTCTTGAAGTATCACAGTATTATATTTTTTGCCATATCGCCCATCCCTAAAAGAAAAAGACTGAAAATCAGGCTGTACTGTAACACAACTGAGTACAGGACAGTATTTCCAATATGTTTCTGAGGTGCAGTTTTTGCCCAAATGTATTGGACACGAATGTGTGTCAAAAACAGCATCTGGTCGATTTCAGTCACTGTCCTTTTAGTGCAGCGTAGCGTGATGTGTACGGTCAAGCAAATGGGCCGTCATTAAAAGAACTGTCATGATCAACACACATTTAAGTCAATACACGACGGGGACAGCGTGGAAAGAGATTTTGGACGCACCTCCCCCACCAGGCCTGGCCTCCTCATCTCACTTCATTCCATGCCATTCACACAATAAGGGCAACAGCAATAGCCAGAGACAGGCTGCTGAAGAGCTGGGGAGGGGTGGCATTAGTTTAGAGATGCAACTCCTGTCAACCCCGAAAGAAAAAAAGCTAGCATTCTACTTCCACCTCTCTGTCTCTCTCTCTGTCTCTCTCTCTCTCTCCATGTCGAGTGTACTGAGCTCCAGTGCTGAGGCTGTAGCAGAGGGTGATTCACACTGGAAAAAAGCAACAAGGGTATGAAGCATGAATCATCCTGTAGAAATCGAAGTCACCTTTACTTCAACGCATCTCTAATCACACATTACATGATGAAGTGATGAAGCCGGAACAACAGCGCAGTGCAGGAAAGTCTGCAGCATGTTTAAGATATGTTTGGAATACATGCAGCGGGAGTGAAATACTGGCATTAGGATGATTTCAAAACGTTTAACGTGATCACAGGCGCGTTGTGAACTGACTGGGATAATATCTCCAGTTACGATACCTTACCAGTTTACTTACAATTAGCAAAAACGCTGATTACTGATTTTATAAAAATGCTTCTATTTCTGTCTCAAAAAAACGGAAAAAAAATAAGCAGTAAAAATAACCCAGGTGTTAATAATCTAAAACAAAAACTGGACGGCCATATCACATTTGGGCATTTTTGGTCTGCACTGACTCAGTACAGATGCCGCCGAGTAGCATCAATACCTCCCAAAAATGTCTATTCGATAAGTGTTCACGACTGTAAATTTGTTCTGAGAATACTCCGTCGATGATGCGCGATCCACAATGAATCCTTTAAAACCAACAATCAGTGCGCTTTCTGACTAGCCTGCATGTAAATGAACTGGCAGCACCTCATTCAGTTCAAATAAAACATGTCCATTGTGAAAAATGAGATGAAGATCATTTCCTGGATGAACAATGACCATTCAAATATCTGTTCAGGTTGAACAGACCAAACACGGCACCGCCTCCACTCCATACGAAAAAGGAGTCGTATTAAAAGAAATAAAAAAATAAAAATCCAGTTTATAGTGAATATAGGCTGACAACTATTTAAATATCAAAATGACATTTTATTGAAAATAAAAATGGTGCAGGAAAAATCTGCTTTTGGTGATATAATGAAACTCCCACTCACACATAAACCACAAACCTAGAGTTTAAGAAATCCCTGCTGCAGTGGCATCGCTCATTTAAAGCGCAGCTGCTTTTATAAACCACAACAAACCCTTTTGTCTTCAAATTCATCTTATTTGCACTGCCACAATTACGGTTTATGAATATACCTGATGTGGAGCAACTCCACTACCTGAACTCTGGTCACCGTGGTTACAATATTTGCATGCCGTTTCCGCTTGATGAGATAAACTTGGTGTTCGTTTGAATAGATCAGCTCTAGTGGTAAAAATAGTCCGTCACATGGACTACCTGGCTGCTCGGTGCCTATGCAGCACACATGATAGTTAGATAGATAGACAGAGAGAGAGAGAGAGAGAGAGAGAGAGAGCGCAGGAGAGAAAGAGAGAGGGAGGAAGCTACGGCTAATAGCACATGGAGACAGTTACTGATGGCAGAGGGACAAAGCTCAAAACTGAGCCTGACGTTTGTCTCCTAGCACTGACAACAGTGTGCAAACAGGCTCAGGTAATACACAACAGTACAAAAGTACAGAGCAGTGCTATTCTGCATACAGACCCTAGCCTGCTGATGCATTCTGGCCAGCATCGTCTTTGTTTTTTCCTCCCCGTAAAGGTACTTTTGCTTGCCTGAGCCGGTGCTTTTCCACTGAGCACCTTCTCCATTGCCTGCATTATTTAATGCCTGTTTTTGCCTTCACTATTCTCAGCGCTGTGGCTGAATCAAAACAAGCAAGTCGCTGCCTGTTTGCTACCCTTTATTCTCCTTCTCTCGCTCATTAGTTGCAAAAACGGACAACTAGAGGTTGGACGGGAGGTTAATGGAGATGCACGGAACAGAAAAGAAAGTGAGAAAGGGGGATTTAGGGGAGATAAAAGAGGGGGAGAAGAGAGACCAGAAACCCTCACCTTCACGACATACATCACTCCGGGTCCGGATATCTTTTCGCTGGAGTGCAGCCATCCTCGAGAGGGCTTATTCACCAGCCCCGCGCATCCTCCACCGCTGGCAGCACCCATGCCTCCTACACCACCCAGGTTCCAGTCCTCTGCCACTCCAGGCTGAGCCTCCTCCATCCTCCCTTTCTTCCCGGCGGAGCTCATGGAGCCTGGCTCCTGCTGTCCAGAAGCAGCGGCAGCACACGAGCTGCCCCCAGTGGCCGCTGAGACAAGGCCGGACGATCCCGGGCTGCCTGAACTCCCCCCTCCCCCTCCTCCCCCGCCCCCCTGGAGCTTGGAAACAGCCAGGTCCTTGACAGCAGACGGGAGGCCCTTGATGCCCAACAGGCCTCCGCCAGAGTTGGCGAACTTCAGGCCAGAGACCTTGTTGATGAGGGTGCAGAGGGTGGTCCCCGAGTCCTCGGCGGCTGGTGCCGGCGACTCGGGGGGCAGTACATCGGCCGGCGGCGCGTAGGGGGGTGGCTGGTGGCCAGCAGGCGGTGTCGGCGGAGCGGCCGACACCTTGGTGGCGTTCATGGAGAGGCCGTGGAGCAGCTCGTCGACGGACGTCACCGACTCATTCCTGAAGCGGTTGTATTTGGTGCGGTGAAGCATGCCCCTCTGCCTGCCTGCCTACTTACGTACGCACGGGCAGAACCGACGTCAAGCTGACCACTGTCCACTCCTCCAGCATGCTGGGGCCGAAAAAAAAGCCTTCCTCTCGGCCGACGTACAGGTCTGTACCGAAGTAATTGCCCCCCTCCGCTTGCCGATCTACAGCTATGGCACCGGTGGTTGGAGTGGTTTGGTGACTATGGTCGCCGACTGCCACTGCTGTTGCTGCTACTGCTAAAGCGAACAAACGCTATGAAAATCCTACACACCACGCCACCTCAGGGGCCAAAAATACAACACCACAGTGAACACAATCCATGGAGGACAAAAGACGGAAGAATGGGGGAAAGAAAAAAAAACAGGAGAATGGAAAGCGGGAAGTGGGGAGATGCTCCTCTTCGGCGATGGAGGTCCAGCGATAGAGGAGAAAAGAAGAGCTTTATGAAGGAGATGTCTCCCTCTCTCCCCGCAGCCTGGCGGATCTGTGCACACGCATGACTCACTCGCAGAGAGAGGGAGAGAGAGAGAGAGAGAGAGAGAGAGAGAGAGAGGAACCTTCTCAACAAAAGACTCACTCAACACCGCAGATCACTTCCTGTTGCAGAAAAAAATAAAAAAGCCTCCCACTTACAGCACACTAGAACCAATCAATTCTCAAATTTCCTTCCAATGATATTTTGTCATCCGCAGGAATGCATCAGTGTTTAATTCACTCCAAAAGGAAGAAGGAAAAAGAGGCATTCAGAGCGAAAAAGGCTATCAAAATTGACCATCCAGCAGTGAACGACAGGTACTGTGTGTCCTTGCTTGTCGACTTTCTTCATAATTTGAGTAAAAAAACCCACGTAAAACTGGTCCTCCAAAACAACAGACCCAAATTTATAAGACTAAATAGAGGAGGAACACAAAAAAATACATGAATGAAAATAACAGAACATGACAACTAATGGCCAGCAGACGCCATGATCACAAAAAAAGACTGCATGCCTCAAAATATGACATTAAATGATATTGTAAGGGTGCTAGTGCTGAGACGTCTGCTTCTATGTCCACGGGAGAGAATCAAAGTTGAACTGCTCTCCATGATGATGACTAATTTTCCAGACACCTGACAGAAAGACAAAGCTCAGTGACTCTGTGCCGCCTCGTGAAGACGGTCCATCAGAAGCAAACTGCAATCTCTCATTGATAAAAATAACAGAATCCGACGGCGTAGGAAAAGCTAGACTCTGAGGTTTCGGTTGCAGATAAAAGACAGACCGATACTCTTAAAAGAAATGCATAAGCAGCCTCCACCACACTGGTCTGCCTCATTCTAAACGCCGCTTATATCACTGCGCTCTCCATGGTGACCAACCAGGATCTGAATAATTCTCCAAAGCTTAAATACATTTCTTTGTTCAACAGTTCGTCATGTCCATTTGTGCCTACATACTGAACGACAGCAGGAAAAAAAACATGCTAAAACACACTATTCTACTGCTGAAAGCAAAAAAAGGGCCAATCTTTTGTGTTATATTATCTTGCTGAATAATTAATCATCATACCAAAAGCACAATGCTAAGAAGTGATCAGACTAAAACGGAATCCGGCATCTGAATGAACTGCGTGACAAATCAGACAGTCCCATCTCTCTCAGTCTAATTAAGAGGCAGCTAGCAGCGTGAAACCCACGGCGTTAGTCCGGGAGAGAGAAAAAAAAAAAGCCATTCATGTAAAAATGTCCACAGGAGTGTGCATCAGGAGACCGTCAGTCATTCATAAGCTTCCTCTTCTCCTCTCGCCGCTGCAGCATTCGCACTGCAGTCCCTCCCAACGTCTTGCCTTCCTGCCTGCCTGCAAATCAAAAAAAAGGAAAAGAAAGGAGGGAGAGAGAGAGAGAGAGAGAGAGAGAGAGAGAGAGAGAGAGAGAGACGGCACGTTTCTGTTCTCCAGAGACAACAGGAATAAAAAAAAATAAAAAACAAAAGGAGGGATGTGTTCTCCCTCCCCAGTGCTGCTGCGGATGGAGAGAGGAAGGATTCAGGCTGGAGAAAAGGATGCTGAAGGTGCAGAGATGGCCAATTCGGACCGGGCCCGGCTGTGAATGGGGCAGCAGGCGAGCGAGGCCTCGATTCTGTGAATGGAGGCAGGCCTCGGCTCCTTCTGCAAGGCAAAATCCCTCGGGATGCAACCCGGCCGGCCAATCAGAGGCAGGCAGGATGACTCATTCAGGGTAGGCAGGCTGAATAGTGGGACAAACCATTCTCGACTCAGGTGACGGAAGAGACCATTCTCAAGCATGCGCCACTGCAAAATCACCAGACTGCTTTATTTTTTTTTAGATAACACCAGCGCTGTTACTATCGATCTCACCAGCTGCTGTGACATTTCTGCAGGTTCTTAAAGTGTCATTCAGATTCACTTGCATGTGAGGGGGATCGGTTAAATGCACAAACTTAGGCTGATGTACCCCATTCCCGCCTGCCCTCTAGGGGCTAATTTTTCTCATTCAGACGTCCCGACTAGGCATCCACAGTATGAATGTCACAGAGAAAGCCATTCTGCAAATGATTCATCTTTGAGTTTTTTCTGGCTGTTAAAATAATAGAGTTTAGATTCTTAAATATCACACACAGTAGTGAAGTAAGTAAGCAGTAATTTTATAATGCAATACATTACTATGTTGTATATAATGTCTAAGAATGCATTTGTAAGTAATATGATTTTGTTTTTAAAAAACTGAATGAAAAAAAAGACGTCTAAGGCAGGTGATGCGTCTAAACAGATTCTCAGTCTTAGTCCTGGCTGCTGCATTGGCATTTTCTGTGATTTCACCTCTCTAGCTCACAGGATTCACATCAAAAAGAATTTCATGATCACCTGAAACAAACTAGAACAAGCAATACCTCTAAACCACGACAGACATTCATTTTTACAGCATAATGTGTAACTGTTGGAATCTCACAGCACATCACGCTTTGATTCGACTTCAATTCAGGTGTAATATATTAAATATTCAGGTATAATCAACGCGATTATCTTTACATATCTTTATTTTTTGAGTTCTATACTGTACACTATGATATTTTCCCATACTTGTCCATATTCATAAGTAGCATTAGCTTTACTGAATTTGAATATGCAAGGGGTTGGGATGACCTGTAGCGCCTATAGACTTTATGCTTTAGCATTTTTTAAAAAACTACAAAAAAAAAAAAATCATACCAAGTTGTATTTTATTGCTCTTTATTGTTCTTTCCATCACATGCTGTACAATGTAGGCTTGAGTTTATTTTTGATAGTTTTCATAATGTTTGGTACTGTTGACATTTCCCAATTAAAGGGTTCAGGTCATGTAAAACCAATTTTTTCTCACATTTTTGAAGTAAACAAGTTTAATGTTGTATGTAAACCAGACCTGGATGACAGAGCGATGTAATTGGATATAGTCAACGATGGACAAGTAACTCGACGGCGATGTGTAAAAGGTGATAATCACCATTTTGGAAAAAAGAACTGAGAGAGAACTAGTTCCAAAATATTCCACTCGCTCTCCAGTCCTCAAAGTCCATGTATGGAAAATAAGCTCCACAAAAAGGCCATTTGAAATCACTATGTTTTTGCTTTCACATACACAGATCAGACATAACATTACGACCACCTGATTGTCCATCTTATCAGCTCCACTTACTATATAGGTGCCTTTTGTAGTTCTACAATTACAGACTGTAGTCCATCTGTTTCTCTGCATACTTTGTTAGCCTCCTTTTACCCTGTTCTTCAGTGGTCAGGACCCCCATGGACCCTCACAGAGCAGGTACTATTTGGCTGCTGCTGCACAGTTTGTGTTGGTCATCCTCTAGTCCTTCATCAGTAGTCACAGGACGCTGCCCACAGGACGCTGTTGGCTGGATATTTTTGGTTGCTGGACTATTCTCAGTCCAGCAGTGACACTGAGGTGTTTAAAAACTCCAGCAGCACTGCTGTGTCTGATCCACTCAGAACAGCGCAACACACACTAACACACCACCACCACATCAGTGTTCCTACAGTGCTAAGAATGATCCACCACCCAAATAGTACCTGCTCTGTGAGGGTCCATGGGGGTCCTGACCACTGAAGAACAGGGTAAAAGGGGGCTAACAAAGTATGCAGAGAAACAGATGGACTACAGTCTGTAACTGTAGAACTACAAAGTGCACCTATATAGTAAGTGGAGCTGATAAAATGGACAATGAGCGCAGAAACAAGGAGGTGGTCATAATGTTACGCCTGATCGGTGTATGTGTGCCTACTGAGCCTGTAACAGCGTTGCTCTGTGCATTCACACTGAAGTTAAAAGAAGAAGAAATTATACCACTTTTTGAATAAATTCACAATACAGGGCAGCCAATCAGAAGCTCATTTCATATGTAAGTCTTAAAGCCACAGTAACAAACTCAGCTTACGAGATAAAAATTACATCTGTTTTCGCAACACAAATGTCATAATTGGGCCTCGAGGAAAAAAAACATGAAAAAGCATGCATAAGCATATAAATTAAGCTGATTATAATGCAGAATCTTTCAAAAAAGAAGCACAATGCAACCAAGCATCAATTATTTTTCCAACCTCTAATAATTTGCCTGTTAAAAAATGAGACTGCTTTATTAATGACATTTTTTTAGACAGCGTAAACTCAATGTTCGCTCACATGCAGATGTCTGGTTTCATGCTACAAAGCACAATAAGGTCAGTTGTCTTCTCCAATGCTGCAATAACACCACCTATATGCCAACTGAACTCTCAGGTCACTGAGATGCTTGAAGCTAATGCCCAAAGAAAAGCAGCTGCTACTGTCTTAGGTGATGATAAACCTCATAAGGCATCTTTCTTTTATGGGTCAGAGCCATAGCATACATATTTAGATGAGTGGTGCTCTTGCCATTAATGGTGTTAGAGCACTGGCTCTCACAGAGTGAATTACTCACACAGTTCACAGAGTTCATTTCATTCTTAAATGCATCAGCTTACCCTGCAAAACCAGCAGCGCTCTGAATGATTTATTTAAACACGTCTGTACGGCCTGTGCTCTTTACATCCGGGCGGCTGCATTACTCTGAATGCTCTGCACATTTTAAAATCCTAAACTTTCTTGACCTTCTTTTCAGCTTGTTATGGGCATGATTTTTCACACAGCAGACTAAAGAAAAAGAGGGGTTTTGAGAGGTGCAACATGGTTTTTCATTTTTGTTGACGTCCCACAGATTCGGTATTCAACAATAAACAATCATTATACACAGATCAGGCATGACATCATGACCACCTCCTTGTTTCTACGCTCATTGTCCATTTGATCAGCTCCACTTACTATATAGGAGCACTTTGTAGTTCTACAGTTACAGACTGTAGTCCATCTGTTTCTCTGCATACTTTGTTAGCCCCCTTTTACCCTGTTCTTCAGTGGTCAGGACCCCCATGGACCCTCACAGAGCAGGTACTAT